GAACGGGACAGACCAGGTGCCATAAAACTTGCAGCAAGTTAAGAGCATGGTCATAGACAAATTCTGTCATGATCCAAAGAGAAACAACTGGATAAGGACCCTGCTGGGGTTAGGAAGGGCTAATCTGGCCTGAGGACTGTAGTCTGGGATCTATAGGGAGATGTCCCCAGGAGAGCCACCCTTTAAGCTTAATGTATTTCTTACTGTGTCCATGGGCTGGAGCAATAGCACAGCAGTAGGGCGTTTGTCTTGCATGCAGCCAACATGGCCGACCCGAGTTTGATTCCTCCGCCCCCCTCGGAGAGCCTGACGTATTTGATATGCCAAACACAGTAACAAGTCTCACGATGGAGTCGTTACTGGGCCCGCTCTGGGCCTGCTCGAGAAAAATCGATGAACAACGGGCGAACAGTGACAGTGACAGTGATTGTGTTCATACAAAATGACTAATATTATTAAGAAGTAAATTTAAGATGACCATTTAAATGTATATGGACTTAGGAAAGGAGAAATATGCCCTTAGATGGTATTTCACGCTTGATTGGATCTCCTGGCAGGAGATCTTTGTCTTAGAAGAGCTTCCCCAGAAGGAAGGGCTTTCATATGTTGATTGTGCTACCTGACCTCTGTGTACTTACTACCCTGAACCTGGGAGATTGGGCTCTGGACTAAGGCTGTGAGACTGGGTGTGGGGAGACTAGCGTGGGGGAAAGCAGGAGATGGGAGTGAGGGGCACTCAGTGAGGTTGGAATAGGTGTGCGAGGAGAATGGAATAAAGGGCCGAATGGAGATTGGAAGAAACGGAGACTGATCACCAACCAGCTTGGTGGCCCTGCTCCCTCCTTCCTGTGTCTGTTGGTGGAGACTGCAGACCTGGGTGGGGAAGCTGCTTATGGCCACTGAACACACATGGTGAGAGCATCCACACACAATTATTTATTGAACACACAGGAGGGAGAGGGAGAGGCATAGAATGATTGAACTCTTTTGTAGGATATTTTTAAAACAGTATGAGACTAATAGACAAAAACAGTAGAAATGAGGGTCAGGAGGACCCTTCCAAGGTAGGAAGCTTGCCACAGTTTGGGGGAGTACAGTTAGGACAGAGAAGGGACCATTATGAAAATAATAGTTGGAAATGATCTTACTGGACAAGAACTGAGTGCTGAAAGGAGGTAAAGGGATAAACATAATAACCTTTTAGTACCTGTATTGCAAACTTTAGTGCCTAAAAGGAAAAAGAGAATGAGAAGTTTCTGCCATAGAAGCAAGCTGGGGAGTGGGGCATGGTAGAGAAATTGGGGGCATTGGTGATGGTACTGTTCACTGTGAAGGGACGGGTGTTGGAGTATTGTATGACTGAAACCCAATCATGAACAACTTGTGTATCTCTTGGTTATTCAGTAAAAAAGGGGGGGGATGTTCGGCTTACATCTACAGCAGGACATTTCATGGTATCAAATACCTATTAGAAAAAAAGAAAAGTACCAAAACTGTAATGATTAGTAAGAAACTGCATGTAATAAGAATTATGAAATTGTAATGTGAACTGAAAAAATGTAATGGGGACTGGGAAACAGAAAACTGAACTTTATGTTAAACAACAGAAGGGAGGAAGAAGCATTCCTTTTATGACCCCTGCCAGGCCACCAGATTTCCAGCAGTGTAGTGAGCCTGAGGAATTTATGGGAATGCCAGGAGACTACACCTAAGGGTGGAGTTAAATGGGCAGGATATACTGTCACTGACTCTTTTCCTTTTGGGGCCTGAAGGCCATACCATAGGGAAAAGATGCTTTGGTTGTTTAACTTTTTACCAATTATCTCTGTATCTCTCCTGTCTTACTGATAAGAAGGTATGTAGATTATAGCCCACTCTTAGAGGCTAAAAGAGAGACACTCTGAGCAAACAGGGCTCCAAGTTCCTTTCTCTTCTGATTTGACTTGGGGTCCTCAGCGCTGAGCTTCTAATAAACTTACTATCCTATCCTGAGCTGTCTCTCTCTCTGTTCACTCGCGATTCACACAAGCACAACAAAAACAATAACCAAGGCTTCAGTTTCAGGAAACTGGACGATTAAGAGCAAACTCAACATAATTCAAACAAAACAATAAAGAACAACAAGAAATAAAGAAATCAATACAGGGCTGGAGCGATAGTACAGTGGGTAGGGCGTTTACCTTGCAAGCGGCCGACCCAGGTTCGATTCCCAGCATCCCATATCATCCTCTGAGCACCGCCAGGGGTAATTCCTGAGTGCAGAGCCAGGAGTAACCCCTGTGCATCTCCAGGTGTAACCCCAAAAATAAGCCAAAAAAACCCTCAAACAACAAAATGGAAATCAATACATTGAGAGTAGCACTGTAGCACTGTCCTCCCATTTTTCATCGATTTGCTCAAGCGGGCACCAGTAATGTCTCCATTGTGAGGCTTATTGTTACTGTTTTTGGCATATCAAATATATCACGGGTAGCTTTGCCGTGCGGGTGGGATACTCTCGGTAGCTTGCCAGTCTTTCTGAGAGGGGCAGAGGAATTGAACCCGGGTCGGCTGCGTGCAAGGCAAATGCCCTACCAGCTGTGCTATCGCTCCAGCCCACATTGAGAGTAATACAGAAAATTACTTCTTACCACTTCCAAAATACTATCAAAATGATAGTTTCTAGAATGCACTCAGCTACAGATCAGGGGAATAAAGCTACTATGTACTCATTAGTTAATATGCAGTTTGTTATATTACCAATGAAGATTTGAAGCCCTAGTCAATCAGGGCATTCAAGCCCAATACATCAGGATCCTCCGTGAGCTGTATTGCAGATTCACTACCAGGATCTCACCATTCTACAAAGAAGTGATCGTTGACGTCAAGAGAGGGGTGCGGCACCCTTCTTCAGTGCCACCCTCGAGAACATCATGCGACGACTGGAATGGGAAGGAATGGGAGTGAAGATAGATGGTCGGCAACTACACCACCTCCGCTTTGCTGATGACATTGTTTTAATAACACCAAACATCAGCCAAGCGGCACAAATGCTGGCCGACTTTGACCGTGAGCGTGGAAAGGTAGGACTACAGCTGAATCTTACGAAGACAATGTTTATGAGAAACAGCCTCGTTCCTGACGCCCCATTCGCTCTCAACAGAACGACCATCTCCGAATGCAACAGCTATGTGTACCTAGGTCGAGAGGTCAACATGACAAATGACCTGGCACCCGAGCTGCTGCGCAGGAGGAAGAGAGCGGCTTGGAACGCCTTCAAGAACGTCGAAGAAATAGCTAAGAGGACGAAGTACCTCCAGCTCCGGGCACATCTCTTTGATTCCACTGTTCTTCCTGCATTAACATATGCCTCAGAGACCTGGGCCCTAGGCAAACAGGATGAGAACGCTATTCAGGTCTCCCAAAGAAGAATTGAAAGAGCTATGCTTGGAATATCACGTTTCACTCAAATGAGAGAAAAAATCCGGAGTTCTGACATCCGTCGAAGATCAAGAATCAGGGATGCTGTCTCATTTGCCAAAGTGTCGAAAATCAGATGGGCTGGTCACGTAATGAGATTTAAAGACGACCGCTGGACTAGAGCTGTTACCAACTGTATTCCACGGGATGTCAAAAGACTGCGTGGCCGCCCACCTACCAGATGGTCAGACTTCTTCGTCAAGATCATGAACGATCAGGCTCTTCATGTTCCTGGAGCGAACAGACACCATTGGGCTACACTAGCACTCGACAGGGACAAATGGAGACGTTACTGGCGCCCGCTGGAGCAAATCGCCGACTAACGGGAAGTTAAGTGATTAAGTGATTTTAAATCTGTAGATCAGGGAATGTTTTGGAATTCAGAATACCTACATTTCATAAAGATTAGTTTAGGAAACAAAGTAATACTCAGAAAATCTGGAAAAGTACCCTTTAACCAAAAATATTAATTTTTCTGTATCAAAATGTAATCATCTCTGAATATTTATACTAAAAAAGTGGTGACAAGAGTTTCATTATAGTTCATACGTCTCCTGCAAACTCACCAAAAACAAAGCCTTGTTCTCCAGGATTTTTTTAAAAAAACAAATTATTTATTTTTAATGAAAACTTTACAAAGTTGTTCATAATAGAATTGTTTCAGGCCTTCAATTTGCAACACCAATCCCACCACCAGTGTTCCAAGGGTTCTCATCATCCCCAGCTTTTTGGAAGCATATAACAAATTTATTTCATGTTCCTTGCTCCAACAAGACTTAAAAAATGGCAAATGGAATTATCAGATGATAAATATACAAAAATCAATTTGTAATGATTAACTGCCATATAATTTAACTTTATGTAAATAAGAGAATTTAAATCATTTAAAACAAAATAGCATACTGCCTATTCTCATTTGCATAAATAAGTTTTCAACTCTGGCATTCAAAACATATTGCATAAATTTTATTTTGTACTTGAATCTTACTGTGGAAATCATCATATGCTTCAAGTCATAAATGAGCTCCTTTTCCCCCCGTTGGTGGGCACATAACAAATTTATTTCCTGTTTCTTGGTCGAATAAAACTTAAAAGAATGGCAATAGAATTATTAATAATAAATCAATAAAAGACAATTTGTGATGATTAACTGCTACATGTTTTTAACCTTTCTTAATCTAGTAAAGAATACTCATATACACCTTAGTGAGACCATATTCAATACCACATGAAGGGAAGTTTCTCCTGCCCTTTAAAGGAGCTCTTCAAACACTTCTTGCGTAACTGGTTTCAAGTCTATGTATTTCCTGAACTGTTGCCTATCTATGAAGTTCTGTATAGTTCTTTCAATTCTGAATGATAATCTAGCTAGATAGAGTATTCTTGGTAAGGTGTTCAGTTAAATGAGTTTTTGTACTACATATTTCCATATTCTTCTGGTTTGTAGAGTCTCATTTGAAGATCTGCTGTACATCTTATGCACTTTCCATTGTATGTAAGTTCCTTTTTTGATCTGAATGCCTTCAATATTTTGTTTCTACTTTTAAATTTTGTCATTTTAAGTATAATGTTTCTTGGGGTTTTTCCAATTAGGTCTATTTTCACAGGGAATCGTCGGGCCTCTTGGATCTCGGTGACTGTAATTCTCAACTCTGGAAAGTTCTTATGGATCATTTCTTTAATTATTGTTTCTTCACATTTGCCTTCCAGTTCTTCAGGAACTCCAATGATTCTTACATTGTTCCTCTTGAACTCATCCCACAGTTCTCTAGTATGCTGTTGATTTCTTTTCAGACAATTTTGCACTTTCTGCTGTTTCTTAGTGGGTTCCTTCTCATCTTGTAGCTCCTTGATCTTTTGCTCAGCTTCTGTTATTCTGCTTTTCAGAGTTACTATTAACTCTTTTATATCAGGTACCATGTTCTTCATCTCTGACCGTAGTAGTTTTTTCACTTTGACTCATACTTGTGTGTTGCTGATTACTTGTGCTATCGTTTCTTTGAACTCATTGAACATTCTCATCATAGTGTCATTAAAGACACTGCATACGAATTTTTGGTATTGTTTATGTCTTTAATGTTACTATTTTCACTCACTGAGCTTAGTGCGTTTCTACCTGTTTCAACCATTGTTCTTCTTGTGCTGGGGATAAGTTTTCATCATTACCCACCCTGGGAAAGTGGTAAGGGGTTAGCTAGAGGTTGCTCTCTGTCTTCTCTGCCTTTCACAGAATGACGGGAAGAATAACTGGGAGCAGCATATGTGATTTGTTAATCCTAAATGGCTGTGTGCTTCAGGAGTTGCATTGTAGTCCCTTAATATGATGCGGGTCAGGTGTGGAGGCTACTGGGCCCCACCCTGCGAGAAGGGGCTCTTCCTCCAGATGGAGCTCTGCCTCCAACAGGCTGTGCTACCAGCCTGAAGTGAGCCTCACATGGACTGGAGGAGCAGTCTCCAGATGTTTTTAACTTTAAAATTGTAGATAATTGTTGCATGAATATTCATTCAGTCGGAGGCGCTGAGACAAGGAACTCAAAAGAAATTTATGTCATGGAGGGTACAGGTTCTCTCAGACCTGTGACAAAGGTGGAGCCCCGAAATCTCTTTTTATTAATCATGGTACCTCTAAAGGGCCCAATACAGTGACACCATCAAAAGCATCAAAAGAAGTTACAGAAAGAACATTGAGGCAGCAAAACATGTATTGTTTCCTTGTATCCGCAGGCCAGTGCATTTTGGCCTAAGGAAAGAAATACACAACCCAAACCAAAACCTTTCCTGGGCTTGCATCCCAAAGACAAACTGGGCCAGCACCTGAAATCTACAAACTGGGCAAGCATTTGAAATTTGCATCCCCAAAACTAGGCTGGGCCAGAGCCCGGCATCTACATGTCAAAGATCAGGCTGGGCTTCTGTGAGAAAAGGAAAAATGGACTCTTTCGATAACTGAAATTTATGAAATTTTTTACTGAAAGCAGTTAGAAGGGTGAAAAATGTTCAGCTTCATCCAAACCAGTCAGGTCACACGAGAAATCTCGCCCATTTTCATGGGTTCCTACACGGGCTCACCCTGATGGTTCAGTCCAGCCCCAACAGATAATTTATTGAAGACTCATATTTCAACTTTTAAAATATTATCAGCTCCCATTATATCATTCTTCAGATATGTCTCTTAAGTCTTCCTTTTTTCAAACTACTTCAACCATTTTAGCATTTTATCAATCCTCTCTAGATCTCTTTCCTGGATGACTTGAGGCACTTCTAATTAACTTTGTCATCTGCACCTCACTTCCCTACTATCCATCTTTTTTTTTTGCTTTTAGGGTCACGCCCGGCGATGCACAGGGGTTACTCCTGGCTCATGCACTCAGGAATTACTCCTGATGGTGCTCAGGGGACCATATGGGATGCTGGGAATCGAACCCAGGTTGGACGTGTGCAAGGCAAATGCCCTACCCGCTGTGCTATCGCTCCAGCCCCTCTACTATCCATCTCATGTATTTCTCTTGGAGTAATCTTTCAAAATGTAATTGCTATCATGCCATAGCTCCCCACTGTTTATAAGATATGGTCCAACCCCCTATACAAGTTCCTGCAAGATCTAGTTCAGTTCTGTTTTGTTGCTCCTGTCATAAAATATGTAATAACCATGTTAAACTACTTATAGTTCTGTGAATAGTCCATAGTTTCCTGCATTTACTTACATAAATTCCTCTGCCTAAAACAGCTATTGGCTAACCACTGACTTTAAATTCATCTCATCTTCTTTCACCTCATGTTAAGCTCAGCTTCATTAGGAAATTAAGCAACACAGTTCCGAACACTTTAGGAGTTTGGAGAAAGTTCGTTGGTAGGGCACTTGCTTGGCAAGTGTGAGGCTGGTGAGGCCTCAAGTTTGGTCCTCAGCAGCACTCCACATCTGTAAGAGTGATCCCAGTGGTTCTGATGATTGAGATCCCCAGTGCCACAAAAAGTGAATGATCTCCAATTAATCCTGCAAGAAACTGTGAAGTATCTGACTAGCACTGCAACAAAAGATGCACATACAAAGTGTGTGACTCCCCAATACGCACCACAACTAAAAGTGCATGAGTACTACAACCAAGTTTGTAACCCCTGGTAAGAACCATAGTCAAGTGTGATAGCACTATGACCAAGAATGTAAGATCCACTCCCAGTCATTATAGAAACAATAACAAAGGAAAGGAAGAGAGGAGATAGTCAAAGGGGCTACAGCACATTCTTTGAATGCAAGAGGCCTGTCCCCTGTGCATTGAGCTGGGAGTAGTCCAAGAGCAACATTGGGTGTGACCCCAAAACAAAAAATCCCTAGAAAGTTGAAATATTCCATTTTAGCATTTTTAATATTCAGTGACTATGACATGTCTGTCCACCTTGATAGCTCTTGTATCTTTATTTCTTTACACAGTGTCTGAAATTTAATATAGGTGCTGGATAAATTTGGAGAAAAGAGTAGAAATGTAGATTGCATAATGTGAAGAGAACTACAGACCTTTACAAGTTTAATATCCAAATTCTCACTTTTTGGAAATTAGTTTTATATCTTTACAACAAATATTAGCACAATACACTAAAATTGACTACAAAGAGAAACTTTATGGGGCAAGGGATATCTCAGTGGTAGAGTGCCTGCCTTGCAAATGCGTCCACAAGTTAGATATCCGGAGCCATCTCACATGTCTAGGTGATTCCAGTTACATTACCAACTGTGATCAGGATGCCACAGCAAAGTCTGTGATCTTTGGTACATTACACTGAATATGTGCAAGAAACACAAGTAAACTGTATGATCCCTGGCAAGCACCACAATGAAGTGCACAACGCTTAGTCATCACAACAATAAAAACAGCATAGGAAGGTGTGAAAAAATTAATCAATCAGTAATTTCTTGGAAATTCTTGTTCTACCTAATTCCTCAGTACAGATTTCTTTGTTATATGTATATATCGAAACTGTGTAGGTGCGTGCCTTGTACATGGCTGATCAAAGCTGGAGCCCCAACACCTCACAGAGTCGTCCAAGCATTGTGAGAAGTACAGAACCAAAAGTGCACCCCGAGCACTGCAAGGCATAGCCCAAAACAACAAACAAAAAATGTTCACCAAAAATTAAACTACCAAGATATAAAAAGAACTCAAAAAGTCAACAATAATAAAAGTTAATAACTACATAGAAATGGGGAGAGGAGATGAAGAGACACTTTCATGAAGAGGGCATATGTATTGCCATTAAGTATATGAAAAAAGGTGTTCAGCATCACTTATATCAGGGAAATGCAAATAAAAACTACATTGTTGGTTGGTGTTTCACTAATAAAAATTTTTTAAAAATACATTGTTGGAGAGGATGTGGTGAAAAGATATCCTCATTTACTTTTGGTGGGAATGCCTTCTGATTCAACCTCTATGGAAAATCGCATGAAGACTTTGGTGGTTGGGTGGGAGTAGAAATAGAGTACCCAGCAATTCCACAGTACCCAGCAATTCCACTTCTTGACATCTACCTCCAAAACACAGAAGCATTAATTTTTTTAAAAAAATTATATGCACCACTATGTTCTTTGTAGTGCTTAGCTCAGTAGCCAGGATATGGAAACAATCCAAAGGAATAGATAGTATGGAACAAGAAATCCTTGGCCTTATATTTAAAACTAAAAAGAGGTGTAGGAAGAGAGAATACATGCAATATAAACATTAGGACATTGGTCATGGGCATCTTGATGTTAGTATGGTAACAATATATCAAAACCATAGATTTTATTATTATTATAAACATGTTACCTGAACTACAATGAAGATAATAGTAATGCAAATTTGTTAGCATGTGAGGGAAAGAGGAGGAGGAGTGGGGTTCCAGATGGTTGGTGTGCAGTGAGTCAACTGCCAGTTCATTCCTCCAGTCACTCATCACAGAAGGTTGGCAATTCATTTCAGATCTACAACAGGATTTGTAAATCAGTCCATGTGGGGAATGTCAAATCTACCATTTAAACATCTATTTAGGATATAGCCTTTGAGACAATGTATATGCTTATTAACAAGGACAAGATAATAAGAATTACAAAGGATCCAGAAGGGAGAGAGAAGCAGGAGAGTAAGAGGAGAAGGGAGAGGAGATTGGAATAAACTGCAACTGACACCACCAGCCTGACCCTCCTTTCCTCCTTTGTCCTGCCCATCACCATCAACCTCCCCCGGGTGGGGGAAGAAGTGCGGCCCTTCGTAAATTTTATTTTTTGAATATACACACTTGTGCAAGCTTTCTACCATGGACCTTGTGGCCCTCATTTCTATTGTCTTTGACATTATTTTTATACTATGTTTTTTTATATCCTGCAAATGAGTGTCATAATTCTATGTCCCTCTCTCTCACTTATTTAATTCAGCATGATAGCATGATACTCTTCATGTCCATCATTTATAAGCAAATCTCATGATTTCATTTTTCCTGGCTACTGCCTAGTATTCCACTGCATACATGTACTGTAGTTTCTTTACCCAGGCCTCTGTTCTTGGGTAGTGCTGCAATGAACATAGGGCAGAGATGACTTTCCTGCATTGTGTTTTTGGGCTCCTAGGAGTTGTGGATTCCCAGAAACAGTATTGCTGGATCATTTTAAGGAATGCCCATATTGTTTGGAAGACCAATCTTTGAGTTTTTTCTTCTTTACCTGCCTGATGCTCTTCCCTAAGCCTTTATATGATCCTGAACATGTTATTAGCACTCAATACAGCAAAGCAATGCTCCCCCATTAGCAGGTAATCAAGAGACACTCATGGTTGATGCTTCACTATGGTCTCTCATTCTTGTGTCTCGGATTCAGGCATCGGGACACAGATATGGGCATCTGCCATTTTTTGTGCAACCATGTCAAAAAGACAACTTCTTTCAGACACCCGGAATGATAA